AAATCGCCTCTTGAGTGCTATAGTGAGGGCCTGGAGCTCATTCTGCTCTGACGGGGCTAGGTCTCCCTCCGCTCCTCTCCATCTCCCTATAAAAAGGGAAGGAAACCATTAACAGTCCAAATCGCCATCAGCTGTTCTCACCGGCATCTCCAGCACCACCCCGTTGAGCCCACTGCACCACTCCTCCCCTGCAGCTGCGCCCGGGACCACACCTCCGCCACACACCCCCACCGCCGGGGAGCCGTCCGGCCGTACCTACTCCCCCCCCCCCCCCCCGCAAGCGAGAGAGGAAATCGGCCACCGCCATCTGCGCCCCCGGCCTATGGACCACCTTGAACTTAAAGGGCTGTAAAGCCAGATACCATCAGGTGATCCGGGCGTTGGCATCCTTCATGCGGTGGAGCTACTGCAGCGGGGCGTGGTCCGAGCAGAGGGTGAATGAGTGCCCCAGGAGGTAATAGCGAAGGGAGTCGACCGCCCACCGGATAGCCAAGCACTCCTTCTCCACAGTGCTGTACCGTCTTTCACGCTCTGCCAGCTTCCGGCTGATGTAAAGAACGGGACGGTCGGCCCCCCTTACCTGCTGGGACAAAACGGCCCCCAGCCCCCTGTTTGAGGCGTCGGTCTGCAGAACAAAAGGGAAGGAGTGTGAAGCAGCGGCTCCCCACAGAGAGACTTTTTCACCTGCACAAACGCCGCCTGGCACGGCCCCGTCCACTGAACCACCTTTCGGGTGAGATCGGTCAAGGGGCTGGTCAGCTGCGCAAACCCTGGCACAAAACGGCGATAGTAACCTGCCAGTCCCAGAAACCGTCTCACCTCCTTTTTAGTCTTGGGGCGCGGGCAGAATGCTATAGCCGCCGTCTTCTCCACCTGTGGACGCACCTGCCCGCCCCCCAAGTGGTACCCCAGATACTGTACCTCCCTCCGTCCAACTGCACACTTCTTTGGGTTGGCCGTGAGCCCCGCCCTCCTCAGGGACTCCAGGACCGCGGCCACCCACTGCACATGCTCCGCCCAGGTGTCGCTGTGGATGATCACGTCATCCAGGTAGGCAGCAGCATATGCAGCGTGCGGACGCAGCACCCGGTCCATGAGGCGCTGAAAGGTGGCAGGGGCTCCGAACAAGCCGAACGGAAGCGTAACGAATTGGTACAAACCGTACGGAGTGGAGAAGGCCGTTTTCTCCCTGGACTCGGCAGACAAGGGAATCTGCCAGTAGCCCTTGGTTAAATCCAGTGTCGTGAAAAAACGGGCCGTGCCCAGCCGCTCCAGGAGCTCGTCGACCCGGGGCATGGGATAAGCATCAAAACGTGACACTTCATTCACCTTGCGATAGTCGACACAGAACCGTATAGACCCATCCTTCTTTACCACAAGAACGATGGGGCTACACCAGGCGCTGTGCGACTCTTCTATCACTCCCATTTTCAGCATTTCAGCCAATTCCCTCTGAACGATTTGCCGTTTATGCTCAGGAAGCCTGTAGGGCCGTGAACGCACCGTCACGCCAGGCTGCGTTACAAAATGATGCTCAATGACAGATGTTCAGCCGGGCAGGGGGGAGAACACATCTGCAAACCGCTGTTGTAACGCGACAACGTCCGCTCTCTGGGCCTGTGTGAGGTGGTCATCACAAGGGAGAGAGGCGGGGATGATGGAATTTGGCACCTCCGGCCCCAACTCATCTCTCTCCTTAACCAGGCTTACCAGAGAAGCAGTTTCAACCTCTCTCCACTCTTTAAGGAGATTGAGGTGATAAATCTGCGTGGCCCCTCCCCTGTCCGACCGAGCAACCTCATAGTCAACGTCCCCGACTCGCCATGTGACCACAAAGGGTCCTTGGCGAGCAACTTTGAGCTAGAAGAAGGGAGTAATACAAGCACTTTGTCTCCCGGTGAAAATTGCCTGAGTCTAGCCCCTCTGTCGTACAGGCGTTGCTGACGCTGTTGAGCCTGGAGCAAATTCTCCCGTGACAACCTCCCCAAAGTGTGGAGTTTCGCTCTCAGGTCCAACACGTACTGAATCTCATTCTTGGCGGGGCTCGGACCGTCCTCCCAGCTTTCTTTAATCAGGTCAAGCACCCCACGCGGCTTCCGGCCGAACAGCAATTCAAAGGGAGAAAATCCCGTGGAGGCCTGGGGCACCTCCCGCACTGCAAATAACAGAGGGTCTAGCCAGCGATCCCAATTGCGTTCATCCTCGTTAATGAACATACGAATCATGGACTTTAAAGTTTTATTCAGCCGCTCCACCAGCCCATCCGTCTGAGGGTGGTAGACGCTGGTCCTAATAGATTTAATGCCCAGTAATTCGTACAGTTCCCGCAGTGTACGAGACATAAACGACGTGCCCTGGTCAGTCAGTATCTCTTTCGGGATTCCGACTCGGGAGATGACCTGAAACAGTGCCTGCGCCACACTCTTTGCAGAGATGGTGCGCAGCGGGACTGCTTCCGGGTACCGCGTTGCATAATCCACCAGGACTAATACAAAGCGGTAGCCGCGTGCACTCCGATGAAATGGCCCGATGAGGTCCATACCAATGCGCTCAAACGGAACCTCTATGAGTCGGAGCGGGCGCAAAGGCGCTTTTGGTATGGCCGGCTGATTAACAAGTTGGCAGTCCGGGCAGGACGCGCACCAGCGGCGCACATACGCTCGGATGCCCGGCCAATAAAAGTTTTTTCGTATCCCATATGCCCTGCCATGGGGTTATAATGAGCCGCCTGGAAAATCGTTTCCCGGCGGCCCTGCGGCACCAACAGCTGGGTGTGAGTCTCCTCCGTGCGAGTGTCACGACTCACTCGATATAGCCTTTTGATAAAATGAAGCGCGGGTAGGTCCGCACGGCTTCAGGGCGCACCACGTGACCATCAATCTCAATCACCTGGTGAGCGTAGGGTGTCATCACGAGACTGCTCCAGTGGGAAATCACCCGTGGGGGAAACCTCTGGAGCCGGCGGGGCTTCCCATGAAGGACCCGCCGTCTCCCCCTCCCTGGAGTCAGTGTCGGACGACCCCGCATCACCGCTGAGCGCCGCGCAGACACTACATGCTACTAACGGTCGTGATCGCATTCCCGCATACTGTCCCAACAGATGATGAAACCCCGGCCAATTCGTGCCCAGAATTAGGGGATGCGACAGGCGCGGGCTAACCGCAGCCGTTACTCTATGTGTTTTGCCCTTATACTTTAATAACAGCGGAACTATGGGATACCTTTGAACATCACCATGAACACACTTCACCTCCACCCATTCTGCCTCCAGCAATGCCCCGGGGCAGACCAAGCCTTGGTGCACGAGGGTCTGCGTGCAGCCCGTGTCCACCAAAGCATGGCGTATACCCCCTCGAGTCCTTACCGGAATGTTGTATGTCCCTCCTGGACCAGGAGAGGGTGCTGGGGCACCGGCAACCCGGAACACCTGCCCCACTTCCATCAGAGGACAGTCCCTCCTCAGGTGTCCCAGTTGCCCGCAGTTCTAGCACTCCTGCCCCGGTGTCTGTGCTGCTCTCCGTGGCTCAGGGGCGGCACTGCTCATGTCTGATCCCCGGGAAGGCACAAACGCAGCAAAAGGATTAGTGGGGCTCGGTGCCCGGCGCCTCGGTGCCGGCACTGGGGCTTGTTTGCTCGGCCTCCAGCCGCTGTCCCCGGGCTCCCCCGCTCTAGCGGCAAGGTGGTCCTCCGCCAACGTTACCACCACCTCCAGACTCGCGGGACGGTGGCACCTGACCCATCTCGCCGTCTCCGCAGGCAGCCCATCCACGAACTGCTCCAGCACCACCTTGTCCACCAGCAGCGTCTCGCCCTCTGACGATCCCGGCTGCAGCCAGCGCACCGCCGCGTCGTGCAGCTGCCGGGCCCAAGCAAACAGCCAATCCGCCGCGGCTAGCCGACAGGCCCGGAACCGCCGGCGATGATCCTCAGCGGTGAGCCCCAACCTGTCCACCACCGCCCGGCTCACGTCCTGGAAGCTGCTCCTCGAGGTCGGCGGCAGGCTCAGGGCCGCCGTCTGAGCCTCTCCCGACAGCAGAGGAAGCAAACGTGGAGCCCACTCCCCCTGCGGCCACTGGCAGGCCTCCGCCGTGGCACGAAAAGTCTCCAGGAAAACCTGGGGGTCATCCCCGTTCCCCATCCGGGGCATCGCCACCGACAGCGGCGGAGGCTTCGGCGGGGCAGCGGCTCCAACCAGCCGCTCCAGAACCAGAGTCTGCCGGTCCGTCTGCTCCTGCAGCGCAGCCAGGTGAGCCCGCTGGGCCGCCGCTTGGTCTTGGCCCATCTTCGCCATCTCTGCCAGCATCTGCGCCAGAAACTGCAAAGGCTGGGCGGGCGGCGCAGCCTGTGGGTCGGACATCCCCACGCCGGCCGGACACTGGGTTTCGGCACCACTTGTGAAATGCACTATACACAGGTACACACACACACAGGTCTTTATCACCAGCTTCCACATTTATTTATAGTTTTCCCAGGTTATGATATGAACACAGTCTGACAGCTGTCGGTCTCAGCTGATTTCCCTCTCCCTCCGCTCCTCTCCGTCTCCCTATAAAAAGGGAAGGAAACCATTATCAGTCCAAATCGCCATCAGCTGTTCTCACCGGCATCTCCAGCACCGCCCCGTTGAGCCCACTGCACCACTCCTCCCCTGCAGCCGCGCCCAGGACCACACCTCCGCCACACAGGGCAAGTGGAGTTCAGCACACTGAGGACTTTCTCCAAAATACAAGGCAATCACACACAAATACATACTAGACATTTAGACTTAGATATTACTACTCATAGCTAACTAAATAATTTGGTGATGAAAGGAGAAAAAAAGCCTGTCCATAAGTACTTTAGGAAATGAGGTGAGGACACTCAGACGTAATAAAACTGCAGCTCCTGACCATGCCTGCTGGAAACCCCAGTCACACGAACACCTGAGACCTGGAGAGAAATTCAAATTCAAATGCAAGGGACCAAGAACAAGGAAAGCAAAAGGAGAGGGGATGGGTACAATGCCCTACGGAGCCATGACAAGTGTTGTATTTTTTTTCATTGAGCTATGTTGTTTGTCATACTTTGGCTGCAACACAAACACAGAAATTTTATTTTGACCTAAATAAAGCACATCTAATTGTAAAGACATTGCATGGACAAAAAAACTCTACTCAAAGTTCATACAAAGCAATTTAGTCTCCTGTGATCCTGTATGATCACATGTTAAACTTTTATGGCTTAAAACTTTCAAAGTACAGATTATAAAGTTTATAAGAGGGACAAGCTGCTTCCAAAGTTCAAACTGTGCTTTTTCCTGCACACAGCTGGGTATCCACTCTATTCTACAGCCAATCATTGTTGCTGAGAGGTGAAATGGCGCAGAGAGGAAATCAGCAAGATTCAAAAAGATTATCTTGTTCACTCTGTTTGGATCTACTAAAGGATCCAGTAACTATTCCCTGTGGACACAACTACTGCATGAACTGTATTAAAGGTTTCTGGGATGAAGAGGAGAAAAACAAGAAAATCCACAGCTGCCACCACTGCAGGAAAGCTTTCATTCCAAAGCCTGTCCTGGAGAAAAACACCATGTTAGCAGCTTTAGTGGAGCAGCTGAAGAAGACTGGACTCCAAGCTGCTCCAGCTGATCACTGCTATGCTGGACCTGAAGATGTGGCCTGTGATGTCTGCACTGGGAGGAAGCTGAAAGCCATCAAGTCCTGTTTAGTCTGTCTGGCCTCTTACTGTGAGAAACACCTCCAACCTCACTATGATGCAGCTCCATTAAAGAAACACAAGCTGGTGGCCCCCTCCAAGAAGCTCCAGGAGAACATCTGCTCTCGTCATGATGAGGTGATGAAGATTTTCTGTCGTACTGATCAGCAGAGTATCTGTTATCTCTGCTTGATGGATGAACATAAAGGCCATGAAACAGTCCCAGCTGCAGCAGAAAGGACTGAGAAGCAGAAGGAGCTTGAGGTGAGACGACTAAACATCCAGCAGAGAATCCAGGAGCGAGAGAAAGATGTGAAGCTGCTTCAACAGGAGGTGGAGGCCATCAATGGCTCTGCTGATAAAGCAGTGGAGGACAGTGAGAAGGTGTTCACTAAGCTGATCCGTCTCCTCCAGAAAAGAAGCTCTGATGTGAAGCAGCAGGTCAGATCCCAGCAGGAAACTGAAGTGAGTCGAGTCAAAGAGCTTCAGGAGAAGCTGGAGCAGGAGATCGCTGAGCTGAAGAGGAAAGACGGCGAGCTGGAGCAGCTCTCACACACAGAGGATCACAACCAGTTTCTACACAACTACCCCTCACTGTCAGCACTCAGTGAGTCTACACACTCATCCAGCATCAATATTCATCCTCTGAGCTACTTTGAGGATGTGACAGCAGCTGTGTCAGAGACCAGAGATAAACTACAGGACATTCTGAGAGAGGAATTAACAAACATCTCACGGGTGGTGACTATGGTGGATGTTTTACTGTCACCACCACAACCAGAGCCAAAGACAAGAGATGAATTCTTAAAATATTCATGTGCAATCACACTGGATCCAAATACAGCAAACACACATCTGTTATTGTCTGAGAGGAACAGAAAAGCAACATTTAAGGAACAACAACAGTCTTATTCTGATCATCCAGACAGATTTCTTCCTTGTTGGCAGGTCCTGAGTAAAGAGAGTCTGACTGGACGTTGTTACTGGGAGGTGAAGTGGAGAGGAAAAGTTTATGTAGCAGTTTCATACAAGAATATCAGCAGAGCAGGGAGGCTAAATGATTGTGTATTTGGGTTAAATTACAAATCTTGGGCATTAAGTTGTGATAGCAAGAGTTGTAAATTTTTCTACAACAAAGTCCAAACTGAGCTCTCAGGTCCCGAGGCTTCCACATTAGGAGTGTACTTGGATAATAGAGCAGGTATTCTGTCTTTCTACAGCGTTTCTGAAACCATGACTCTCCTCCACAGAATCCAGACCACATTCACTCAGCCGCTCTATGCTGGACTTATGCTTTTTGAGCGAGGAGACACAGCAGAGTTCATTAAATTGAAATAGACAGAGTGGGTAGGTTTATGTTAGAACTTCTGTTTGAAAGTTTGTGTCTAAAAAATATAGTGCTGTAAATAAACGTGTCGCTACATTTCTTGCATAAGTATAAACCTTAATTTTTCATTATAATCTAGAATTATAAGTTTAAAATATACTTCTACTCCTATTCAGCATTCTTTATCAGTCTTAAATTAATTAGATGTAGCAATACACTGGAGTTTGATTGGTTTGTTTTTAGTAAGCTGAATACCTTTGGATATCATTAAATATCTTTTATTATGATTTTTAAGAGAGATTTTTTTTTATCAGACTTCCTCATTTATACATCAAACTATGGTAACAAAATGATACAGGAAATATTTTATTTGCTCAGAAATGCATGCTTTACTCACCACACTCAACCAATCTAATGGTTGTTTTGGTTTATATGCTGGATGTTTCTGGAAGTTTAATGTCCCTTAATCTGTTTATGATCAATAAAATTGGTGTACTTTGGACAGTTTCACCTGCTATAAATAACACATATTTTATCGACTACTGTAGTGTTTTCAACAAGGATGTTGGGGACACCGAGTTAAACCACAAATGAAGACCCTGGAGTTTAGTTGCAGCTTGTTTAATTGTCTCCATGAACATGTGGTGAAAACTGAAATGACAGAAAATAAACTCCATCTCAACAGGCAGAAGCATATTTACATCAATAAAGTGCATTACTCTCACTAAAACATTCATGTTAGCAAAATATACATTAATATCCAAAGTTATCTGTATAAACTGTCATATAAAGTAACTTACGGCGTTCCAGCCTGATAATTCAGAGTAGATGGCATTTGATTCTTCTTTCTTACATTTGTATTGGCAGTTGGCAAACAACTGAAAGGTGCATTACCGCCACCAACTGGTATGGAGTATGGTGTGGAACGACGCTCAAAAAAAAAAAAATAAATCCTCAAATCCTTCCAAACACGTCCCCCTCTTTTAAAAACTGAAATAAGGCCTGATAACTTTTACTTCCCGATTCCTTTCGCAACAAATCAACAAGACCCAGTTCGATTTGTAGGTTACTGAGATTTTGAATCAATTGTCTCCTCTCAACCTGATACCTCTGACACTGCAACATGACATGTTCTACAGTTTCCTCTACCCCACAGTAATCACATTTTCCGGTACTATGTTTCCCTATCATGAATAATGTATTATTCAAGCCAGTATGTCCAAATCTCAGTCTGGATATGATCACCTCCTCCCTCCTAGTCCGTCCTGCGTTTCTCATTCCTCCCTCCTTTGAATCTTATACAACCATCGTCCCTTCCTTTCCTCCTCCCACTGCTTTTGCCATCTTGCTCTCATATCTTGCCTTACCATACTCCTTATCTCTGCTTGGCCAAAACTAACAGCCATGTCAACCACCCCATGTTTTACGGCCTCCTTTGCAACTCTATCTGCCTTTTCAGTCGATGGCATTTGATTACATCTCCATACTGCCTTTAGCATGTGGAGCCTATGTCTAAATAAATAAGCAAAACTAAAATATACCTACCAGTTCTTGCAGATACCTCACGAAGTCTAAAATCTCATGTAACAGTGATTGTCAGTATCCCAGCTAGATAAGAATCAACCACCATACCGCATCCACAGAGTCACGTCGAGAGTCTAATCTCTTGTTTCCCTCATTCCGTTAAATGGTTTTGACACCTGTTCCCTTGTTACTCCAGGAAACATGAAGCAGATACAACAACTGGACTTCATTCAAAGTCTTGAACTTGCATTTGTTCTCTGGCGCTCTCAATATGAGGTCCAATGTGATAAACATTTTTTTTTCTTTCTCTTTGTTTCTATTGCTCTGCCACCCTGAGCAATCTAGGGTTGCAGGTGAATGAATGAGCTTTTATTTCTTGCTTGCAGTTGCCTTCAGTGAAACTGGACCACTTCCATCCATACATACATTACACAAACGTCACATTGGGGAGACAGGTCAGGGTTAGGTTTAATCAATCAATCAATCAATCAATCAATCAACCAATTTATTATAAGGACATTTAAAAACAACACAGGCTGACAAAAGTGCTGTGCATAGTAAAAAAGTAAAAAGTAGAACAAACACACACAATTAAAAGCTAAAGAGTAAAAATTTGTTGTCAGACAGGCTTTTAAAATGTCGAGTGTTGGAGAGATCCTAATTTGAAGAGGCAGACTGTTCCAAAGTTTGGGCGCAGCAATCGCAAATGCCTGGTCTCCTGATTTTAGCCTGCTTCTAGGGACAACTAGAAGCAACTTATCAGCTGACCTGAGAGCTCTATTAGGAGTATTTATACACTCTTAAAAATGCTGGGTTATATTCCTAACTCAACTGCTGGGTAAAAGCTGTAGGTTCGTAAGTTGGCTTATTGTGACCAAATATTGGTTCAAAAGTCATGACTCAAGAGTTGGGTTGGTAATGTGCCGGGTTCTCCAATTCACTCCACAGCTTGACTAATTCTGTTGGGTCATACTATGACCCAACAGAATTAGTCAATATTTTATCAAAGCTGCCCAACCTATGACCGTCATAGGTTGGGCAGCTTTGATAAAATATTGGGTCAAATTTTACCCAAATGTTTGGGTTGAAAATGAGCCTCAGAAGAAACCACATCATTAATCACAAACTGCCTTTTTCAATTAGACTGTGACCTGATCAGATATCACTGGACTTCTCCACTACTATGAAATAAAACATGGTAAGTAAAAAGTAAATTCTAATAGTTAAAAAATCATGATGATTGATTATGCAATTTATTGGTTTAATTTTGAACTTTACCTACTCATTAAAGGTATTTTAACAGATAACACCAGCTGGGTTGTGATGATGAAAGTTATTTCTACTTAAAAATGCTTGATATCATCGTTTAAAGCTATAATTTGGAATGAGGCTGATGTTGCTCTGTTTGACAAACTGTTTAGAGATCACTGTATACAGAACAAAGAAAGTATGAGATAGGGTGTTGCATTTGTGGGAAAAAGGTAAAAAATTAAAATTAAAAAAAGGAACACAGTCTATGTAAACTATTTAATTATTTAATAATAAATTATTTTATTATTTAATGTCATTATTTAATTTAACCTAAATTACCTTTATGTTGATAACAACATCTTTTCATTTTAAAATATAAAGGAAATGATAATTTGTCCCATTAAGATTTTTTAAGGCTAGATTTTTTAAGGTTACCTTGACCCCCTTTTTTCCCTCGATCATTAGACCGCGCAAAGGGCACGTGCATCCCTGCACTTAGCTTGCTTGCTACTAATACAAACGTGATGGCAACACTGCCACAACCAATATTTAGCCACCATCTTCGATCCTCACTTGGAGATCTCGGTAGCTTTAAGGTCTGCCATCATAAGTTTACATGTAACCAAAGTATAATCTTTTTTTTTTTTTAAAACAACAACAACAACAAAAAAAATTACTGACTCCTGAATATCATTTAGCCTTATTAAGCCTTTTGGTTCTTAGTCAAAACAAAAGGCTAAGGTGTTAAAGGGTTAACCTGGTGGTGCTGAGAATGTTGGCTGCACTCAGACCCTGCTCAGTATACAGCTGATCTGCTCTGCACTTAGATGGAGGCAGTGCTACTGTTAGAGTTAAATTGTTAAATGTTTGTCATTTTTATGTTTACCATTTGTACAGTGTTTTAACTCTGATGAAAGAAATTCCACTGTCCTTCCCGCCAGATTCTCGAGGTTCTGGTGGGGGCTGTAATGTTTTATTGCAGATACATCCTATCTGGAATATCTGCTTCGTTTGATGTAAGCTTCCTGCGTTTACGACCCTTTGGTCAGCAGGAGGTCTGACACACACACACACACACACACACACACACACACACACACACACACACACACACACTCTTACAGAAGTTCACACATATACATTTACATACAGTCCTTGTCTTTGTAACCAAAGGGGGTTGCAAGGGGAGGTGTTTAGTAAACTATTGTTTGAAGTTTGTCAATAAAAGGCAGCGAGAGGAGGCCACCATTGTCGTGCTGGACACAGACGAGGCCTCCCTTGCGCAAGTAATCGATCGATCGACTGTCTTGTTTTCTTCATGATGAATAAGTCTCTAGAATTAGCGGGGTTTGTGGAAACACAGACCCAACAACTACCTACTCTATGACACTGGGTGAAAGCAGCCTGTCATTACTTCACAGACACTGACTTAATAGTCCGAATGATCAGTCCAGGGTACACAAACTGTGCATTCACACTTGCTTATTTTTTATTTTTTTGGAACTTATATATATGTAAGAAGTCCAGAC